TTTTTTTTTTTTTTTTTGTGATTATTTTTGCCTACTATTTTTGCAGTATCTTTTTCGCTTTTTCCTTTTTTTTCTCACAAAATAAAAGAGCAGACGAAGGACAAGAAGTTTAATAAACGGCTTATCTTTGGGTAAAAAAAAGCTGAAAGAGAACTGAACGACGTTTAATGTCGCAAATTGGACATCAAACAAATGGCCAGTGATAGTGGAGTCTAAAAAAGAACAAAATGGATAAACGATCAGAAGGCATTATTTTTTAATGATTTTAAAAACAGAAAAAAAGAGAAGCTTTTTTACTTCACCTCAAGTATATTACGTGTGCAATTTGGTTTTGATGTTTGTTGGTATCTATTTCCTAGACAAAAAATTAGTTAGGTAGACTAAATCAGTCATTTTCTTGATTAATTGATAAGTTTTGATGGAAAATTTTTTTATATTTTCTGAGACTATAAGAAAATAAATTATAAGAGAGAATAAAAAAGTCATATCAAAGAGTTATTTACCAAAAACAAAAGGTAAACTTTATTTTACATCGATAATGAATCGTAATAGCGGCAAACTGCCAAATGACAGTAACTTTGATGAAGATGTAAGATGTTATCAACTAGTAGAAAGCAATAATTTTTTCTTCTGTTTCTATCTATTTTTTTTGTTTATTAAAAGAAGGAAAAAAGACTAAAGACCTTACAGAAATATTGTGACGGTTTGGTGAAAAATTTAAAGTTGAAATATAGTCGTGTATTTGTTGTCATAAGTTAAGAAATTTAAAAATTATAAGTAGTAAGCTGAAGTGTCTGAACAAATTTCTGAAACGAATGTATACTCTTATCTGAAAAATAAAAATTGAAATTAGATGATTCTTTGACTGTTTATTATGCCAAAGACTTTTGGTTCTTGTAAAGTTGCAACGCTGGAATTGTTGTCGGTTCAGACAGCATTTTTTAAAAGAAAAGGTAGCTTTCATAAGCAGACAAAAAAGATCTTCTCAAAAATCTTATAACATTAAGGAAATTTGAAAGACTTCTTAAACGATCAGTTGCAGAATTCTAGCAGCAGAATAGTGTAGGTTAGATATATTACTTGTCTTTAAGTCAGCTGGTGGTCAACTTAAGAAGTGACGGTTTTCTTAAGCTGTCTTTGACTTCTAACCTTATTTGAATTTCTGTCGATCGCTTACTTCTTAAAATGCTATTCTAATTGGAGTCAAATTGCTAGTTTAGTATTTCAACAACAGTTTGTTAATGCGTTAAATTGCAAAGATTTAGCACCACTAAAATCCGTATCAAATAGTTAGCTACTGGATTTCAGATGAGTATTCAGTTTCAAATTAGTCTCTTTTTTTGTTATTTTAATTTCTTTTGTCGTAATCACATTTTGTTCAAAGAGATCAAGAAAAAATGTTTCTTGATTTTTGTTGAGAATATTAGAAGGTATTACTCAAAAAGCTTAAACCAAACGAAAAACCAAAAAAGAAGAAATTACATTTGTAAAAGATTTTAAAATTTTTTTTAATGTGGAAGAATTTTAAAGAAAGTAAGGTAAAAAAGTTAAAAAAGCAAAACTTTGATAGTCAACGTGTAACTGTAAAACAATTTAACATGTGTCTAAATTGTAATATTTAAATAAATGAAAACTTTCAAGATTTGCTCAATGTTTTAAGCACAAATAGTTTAAGCACTATTCAGTTATCAATATCAACGGCTTAGTATCTGTAAAGTATGTGTTTTTTTAACAGACTGCAAATTTAGAACTTTAATTTAGCAAATTCAGCAAATCTTTATTTAGTTTTTATAAATTTCTTGGTTTTTGTAGGAACAATAAATAAACCACAATGGCAGAACTATTTTCGAATATTGAAAAAAAATATAAAGCCAGATACCAAAAGTGCAGATTGGTGTAACAGTTTGGGGAGCGCCTATGTTGAGCATCACCTAAGTATTCGTGAAGTACGTGATGTCTATCCACATTCCTATATTGACGCCGACTATCCAGAACAAAGTGAAGGTCTTAGCACTGTGGAAGCCAGGTTTCAACTTCGAAAAAAATTACGGAAAATAACTTCTGTCAAGGGAGAGAGGATGATGAGTTGGAAAAAAATAATGTACAGTGGTAGTCGAGTGTAATTAATGTGCTAAAAAATTCTTTTCAGGAAACGGCTAAAAGATGGCGGAGCGAATGTCATCGAAACAACCAAAGAAATTAGCAATCTTCGTTTATTTGCTCGCCAGTTTCTTTACAAATTTTGGCTACTTTTACTGGGTAAAGCTTTACAGGAGTACTTTTTCTATACCAGTTTAGCAGCACTATTATTCCAAATTATCACCGAAGTTTTAAATTGACTTAATTGTAACCTTAGATGGCAAATAGATTGAAAAGCCCTAATAATAAAACCTACACTAATGAAGTTAATCAAATGATACTGTTGTTTTAGGTGCTGCTGCACTTAGCGTAGCAACTTATTTTGTGCATTTGGCTCATGGAAATTTTGAACCATTAAATTTGTATTGTGCTGGAATTCTTGTTGCAATCGTCACATTTATGTGTTTTGTTTCATTTTGGCAAGAAAAAAAGGCTAAGCAAGTAAGCGATTTAGGTTTACGATAATAATAAATAATAGTTGCATTTTTGAGCATCTTGTAAAGTTCTTTTCAACTTTTATCTAGCTATTGTAGTTTAAACCAAAAGGTTGACTTTAACAAATATTGAATACAAGTCATTAAAAAACGGCTGTCGTTTTCTTTCACATTATTTTTTTAATTTATGTTTTAGGCTTTAAAAGATTTTAAAGTTTTATTGCCGCCAGCTTGTATTGTTGTACGGAGCAGTGAAGAGATACAAATTTCGCCAGAGGAACTTGTTGTTGGTGATTTGGTGATTATCGGACCCGGTGCTAGAATTCCTGCTGATATTCGTATACTCCAATCCAACGGAATAAAATTGGAAACATCAGCAATTACAGGTTGGTCAGGCAGTAATTTCATAGTTGACATCAGTTTTAGCTTTCTTTCTTAAAATATTATCAATATTAGTAGATCTTATAGGTTCCGCTGTCTAAATTTGATACAGTAATCACATCGAATTCGTTTAAAAACAGTTTTTCTAAAGCTAGTTTAGTGCTAAAATGATTGTTCTCGGAAACTTTGATGCTTGTTGCATGAAAGTTGTAGGTGTTACTCTTGTTTTTATGTTCTCGTAAGTATTTGAAAATTATTTATCTTTTAATACTTTTCTCATTGTTACAGGTGAAACAGAGCCTGTCAGTTATACACATGAAGCTGCAGCTCCACATGTTAATATGTTTGCAGCAAAAAATATTGCTTTAAAAGGTTCGTTCTGTGTTGAAGGCGATGGAATTGGAGTAACAATACGAACTGGCAAATATACGGTACTAATAGACGTTTGATCTGAAGTTTATAATTCAGTAAAAGAGATAACGTTCTTTTGATCTTTCATTTATTATCTTAATTAATAAATCTTTTCTTTTAAAGTTTTGCTTACTTTTTATTTAAAACTTTAAAAACAAATTTAATTTTTGCGGTATTTGAGCATTAATGAAAATTGAGTGATTTATTGTAACTAACTGATATTGCTTAGGTAATTGGAGGTTTGGCGAATATACAGAAGCATGCATCTAGTTCAAAAAGTAAATTGTCGTTAGAAATTGACCAATTTGCTCATAAAATTTCTATATTTGCGCTATGTATGGCAACATTTTTCTTCTTTGTTGGCTGTCTCGTTGCCAGGTTTGTTCTTCACGTTTAACAGGTTTTTTTC